GGACAAAAATATATATATATATATACACACTTAAGTTACTAAAAACTAAAATAAATAATAAAATAAAAACTACTAATAATAATTAATAAATAAAATAACCATATATATATATGCATATATATCCATATATATATGTGCACAATCCATGGGTAATTATCCGTACCCATTACTCCTCCTATCCATGTAATCCATGGGACCCAATTAGTTAGCCCATTACTACTATCCAAGTCCAACTCCTTTAAATATAAAACAGAAAATAAATATTTTAATCCTAACAATTAAATTACACATCATCAGGTAACAAATAATTTAATTAAATCATTTAAAATCAAATAAGCTCACAAAACACATTTAAACACTTAATCAAATAATTAATTCACCAAACACATTTAAACATATAAACAAATAATCAATTAAATAATCTAAAAAAAAAAACAAATAAAATAATTTAATAAATACCGAGACTATCCTTTTAAAATTAGGGGTATTACATTCTTCCCCCTTAACAAAAGGAATTCCGTCATCGGAACTCGCCCTTACCTTCTTACATTATTTCTAGAAAGTGTAAGCAAATGACATCCTCTCGTTCCCACGTGGACTCAGCCTCATTGTGGTGACTCCATTGGACATGCATTAACGGTATACCTTTATTGCGAAGAATTTAATCTCGACAGTCAACAATACAATACGGCGATTCCACATATGTTGCATCTGGCTGCAATGCAATCTCACCAACATCAATATGCTGATAACGATCCTCATCTTTCAAAAATTTCCGTAACATGGAAACATGAAACACATTATGGACACGATCTAAATTGTTTCGGAAGTGCTAAGCGATAAGTCACCGCTCCAATTCGATCCGTAATCATAAAAGGATCCACAAAACGTGGTGACAACTTCTCATTCTTCTCAAAGCGCATTAGTCCCTTCATAGGAGACAATTTGAGTAGAACCTGATCTCTCACCTAAAACTCCAAAGTACGAGTACGATAATCTGCATAACTCTTCTGTCTACTCTAGGTAGTGCGCATACGATCCTTAATAAGAGCAATCTTTTCAGAGGTATCCTTAATGAACTCAGGACCCATTAATCTGCTTTCTCCAACCTCCATCCAATCGGCCGTACAATGCCTCAAACGGTGCTATACCAATATTTCCTATACTTCTATTACGCTTTCAAAACCGAGATTCAAAATTAAGCATTAAGCATACAACTCGATCCGATTTGTTTTAACACCGAAAAATGCCAACATACAAAGTTCTATCTCACAAATATATGTATGAAAATGTGAATAGGGAATGAAAAAACTAAATAATAATAAAAATAATAAATGGATTAGCTATATAATAAAACAATATATTTAAAAAAAAAAAAAATAGGGTATTGTTCTAACAATTCTGTTTCTCAAATTGCAAGAAGAATGATTTTAAAATTAAAACTGTTAATATAATGTTATATTAATAAATTAAATATCAAAAAGCGACATTTAGAGTTTTCATATTGAGACACAAATTGCGCATTGGGCGTGCAAAAAAAAATGAAATGAATTAGAAGATAAGAATTGCTCCATCCATTTGGTGCTTCAAATAAAGTTGTAATGTAGCTGTTGAATAAATTGAGGCCTGATGCATTGTCCATATCTCACAACTTGATCTTAGGAAATGCATGACAACTAATGTAGATGAATGTAATAAATTGGTTGATTGACAAAATATGAGTTGGACATGGAAAGTCTTAAAGGGGTATAAAAATTATAGGTATAAGTTGATGATGACTTCTCTGTGTTTATTACTGAATTTGCAAGTCAAGTCTGAATTTTTGAGTAAAGGGAAAATGTGTGTGGTACATTTCTTCCCTTTTGTGTCTTTCATCCCATTTCCTCCTTCAAGTCTCTCTCTCTCTCTGTCTCTCTGTGACACACTGTCACACACACAAACACAGAATTTAGTCTCTATGTTTCTCTCACCTTACCTATTTACCCAATCACCAAAAAGAGGTTAGAATTGTCTTTACACTCTTTGTAAGGAGGAAATTAAATTAAAGAGAAAAGTAAATGGGCCAGGAAAATGAGGAAATAAAATGAGTCGCACCAAACAAATAAAGACATTTTTTCAATTTGAAAACTTAAAATACATAAAATGACCTTAAAGTAAAATTAAACACTTATGCAGAAATTTTATTAAGGGTATTTTGGAATTTTTATTAAAAAAAAATTGGTCAAAATTGATAACAGGTGGACAATTTCGTACAAAATTTTAAATTATAGGGATTTATATGAATATAAAAAATTGCAAGGATTTTCTTTGCACATTTTTTATGTAATATGAGTGTTTTTTTGCACTTTACCGTTATAATAAAATTGAGATGACAAAGTATAAAGTGTAGTGTAAAATACTTTCTTTTGTATTGTGAATATTAACTACTTGATCAATTTATTAGTAGTTTTCTATTATTATTTTTTATTTATTGCATTAGATTTTTTTTTTTTTTTGTTATTATTTTTATTTGGTCATTCATCTAGAGAGAGAAAAGAAGAAATAATAAATTAAAATTAAAATAAATTAAAAAGGCTATGATGCGAGTCTCACTTGAAAGCAAGCCATTAGACTCACAGAAAAAGGAGCATAAAGAGTTTGTTTAGATCCATCCTACCCAGAGCTGGCTGTACCTTTAGGCGGTCAGCAATAGGGACATCTCAAATTTTTTTTATTCTTTTTATAAAATTTTTATTTCATTCTTATTATCAGACTCCAACAATAGAAGGGCAAAACTTTATTTTCGTATATTATAACTTTCAAATTTTTTTATTCTTTTATATTATAACATTCATAAAATTTTTTATTTTATTTATTATTAAACTCTGCCAGATAGAAATGCCTCAATTTTTTTTATTTTTTTATCTTCTAACCTTCTTAAAGTTTTTATTTGTATTTATTATTAGACTCTAATCCAAAGAGGTTTAATAGTGGGCCCAAAAGAAATATATCATTTAAATGATTTTTTTTTTTTTTTTTTTTTTTCATTAAGTATAAGTTGTATAACTTTAAGATCAATTGGATTAATTATATATTAGATATTAAAAAATTATTTTTATATTTTTCACCCAAAATCCTACCCAAAAATTAATAAAGCACTTCTTTTGAATATATTAAATTTTGCAAATAATTAAAATCACAAATCACGGAATTGTGTGAAATCTATGCTATTTGCATTCGGCCGCTGCAAAATCGACAACAATACCTTTCATAAATCACGAGTTTGGACTTTTTTGGTGACATAAAAACATCACATTCCATTTACTTTGTTTCCTTAAACTGTCAACTAATACATTGAAAATTCGTCCCTTATCTTTTTTTTTTTTTTGTTTATTTTGTCACCAAATGTGCCATTTTTTTTTATAGTAAAGAAAAAGGAGAATGGGACAAAAAAATCTCCCTGATTAAAGGTTGTTTGTAGCATCCGGTAGTGGAATTTCAACTCTTTTCTCCACCTACATTGTTGTTTCTCTCACACACAGCCTGTCCTTTCTCAATGAAATGAATCAGAATCGTCAATTGATTGCGGAGTTAGTTAGCTTTGATTGCGGGGAGGAAAAAAAAAAAAAAAAAAACAAAGTAACATGACCCACTCGTAGCCAGAGATCTTTTTGACTTTGAAGGATCATCATTTCATTTATGATGGATTGAGAAGAACTCACGGAGTTCCACTTAAAGTTCCGTTTCGTTAGAAAGAGTTTTTTCGGAGGGTTGACATACTTATGCTCCGTTCGATAGTAAAAAATAAATAAATAATAATAATAATAATAATAATAAATAAATAAATAAATAAAAAGGAGAGAAAAAATAATGGATAAGATATTCTTAAGAGAGAGATTATTTATTTTTGTTTTTTGTTCTGTTGGACCAAAAAAAAGAGAATAAATTCTTAATTTACTATATTTGTTAAAAGAGAGAGGAAATAAAAATTTTAATTGTTTTTAACGTTATATTATTTTTACCATTATATCCAATAATATTTATAATATTGTAATTTATATAGGATATTATTGTAATTTAAAACTTGTATAATTTAGGATATCATTTAATTTAAAACTTCTATAATAGTTCACTTGTCTTACCTCCCTTCTTCTGTTTATTTTTGGGTGGATGAAAATTTGTAAACGACGAATAGAGATGACAACATGCCAGAGTTAGGACGGATTTGGCTAAACCCTACCCCTGTCCCGTTAGAAAATCAATCACACCAACTCCGCCCCTACTCCGAAACGGGTTTGTAATTGTTATATCATCTCTGCCCCTATTCCGATAGATAAAGTACCAATTTCGCCCCATGTACTCCATTTAATTGCGAGGCGCGGCGGGGCCGAGCCGAGTTATGCCACTTTATTACGTAAAAAAAAAAAAAAAAAAAAACCTAGCCCAATGTGTTCAAATTGGACTGATAAATAAGCTGGCCCAACTTTAAAATTACTAAGTAGTGAATATTAATATATTAACAGACACTTACAACAAGTAACAAAAGTCTTAAGAATATAAAATATATATATATTTTATATAAAAAAAAAAATTAAAAGATAATCGGGGCGGGATTGGGACAGGATCCACTCCTGCCCCAAACCCACTTCGGGTTTTCAATTATTTTACCATACCTATCCCAAGTCCATTTAGGGGCCACTAAATCCACCCCATTAGAGGTGGGGGTTGGGTGAAAACCCACCGAGTCGGAGAAAATTGCCATTGTTAAGGAAAGTTGAGTCATCCTTCCTATTTTTCTTTCTTTCCTTGTATCATCTTTGCCAAAGAAAGGAATTTTGTTCCATCCTTTCTATTTTCTCTCCACACCTCTTCCTTCTTTTCTACCAAACAAAGCATTAGGAAAGAGAAGGTGTTCATTCTTATTATTGTTTTGATCGAATTAAATATATACAAATATAAACTTAAATACATAATTTAAAACATTAAAATGAGAGTAAGAATATCTTTTCAAATTTATCAACACTTTGCAGATGCCTCAATAGCTCGATGGTTAGTGCTTTCAGTGAATTTTGAGAGTGCTAGGCTTCAACTCTTTGTACCTATTAATCTAACTTCTAATCTTTCTTACCTCCTGGAAGAAGGAAAAAAAAAAAAAAAAATCTTTATTTTTCTCTCATATTCCTTGCACTCATGGATGGAAGGAAACTCTCATATTCCTTGCACTTATGGATGGAAGTAAAATTTTGGGCCTGGACCTTTTCTTCCCACCAGCTCTCCATCCTACCAAACGATGAACCTTGTTCCGTCCCTCCTCTCTTCTTTCCTTTCCTCATCTTCCCTCCTACCCCACGAAACATAACTCCCACATCCCAAAATAAAGTTGAGATGAGATACAACAGGAGAAAGAAAATTCCAATTGATAGAATAAACACAGATGTCCCTTACAAGAATGCTCAACTCTCAGCATTCATACTAGATTTAAAACAAACCAATCAATTCAACTTAGCAGCATACTTAAACCCATTTGAACAAAATGGCCTACTACTGTCCTGATTAAGCCCACATATAAGATTAAGCCCACTTCATAATATTAGAATAGACAAAAAAAAAAAAAAAAAAGAGGAGTTCAAAATCATTTATTTGCTCCACCACCAATGTACCCAGATACGGTTTCGAAGAGCTGTTTCATGATCTTTGCATCACGATCCAATATATATTTCCTTTCCCTTTTCCTTCTCCATTGACATATTCCTCCCTCCCTCTGAATGCTATTTCTGTCTATGACAAAAGATTTGGGCCAAAACCTACTTCATTAGACGTTGTGGCTAATAGAGTTTCCACAGAGGTTAACTTGAGTAGCAGCAAACAATTTTATTTATTTATTTATTTTTTTTCTTTGTTGGTACTCACACACATATGCCTCTACTGAGACTCGAACACCTGACCTCCCTTTGAAAATAGGGGCCAGGTACCACTGGCCTGTTGGTAGTAGGTGTAGCAGCAAACATATGAAAGCCATCATTATGAAAGCATAGGTGAAGGCCTCATCTTGGAGCTTCTCATACCTGCAACCAACCAAAAAAAAAAAGACAGGATTCATAGAATATATACTAGAAGATGCTCGTAATATAGTCCTTTTTCGGCTTTTATCTGTCTGCAACATGATATGGAACAGGCGTACCTAATAGTGAACTATGTATTGAACTGCAAACATGATATACAGATCTTTTTGCCATTTTTATCCGTTCATAGAATGTGAAATGGTCGTAGACAAACAAAGAATAGTTTTAATCCATTCGTGGATTCAGCTCGTTCATTCACCACCAAAAATCCAACTAACATGGTTGTCCACTTGTCTTTAACGACCTTTTTTTTCTTTCTTTTTTAACTCACCGAAGTGATCAAAAAGGAAATGCATATATTACTGTTAGCACTATGAGCCAAAAAGCAACCTGTTATCTCAACTGCCTCATAAGTAGTAGGCAAAATTGTGATTTGTAAAATAGCTCCACTACAAATTCCATCTGGAGGCTTTCTTCTATTTGATTAAACACATATATAGAATTATAGATCCCACATACTCAACATTGGTTACTTTATCAGAAAAGAGAACATAACATATAGAAGGGCCACTACCCAGTATGGTCCCAACAATAGGGATCAATGTGAGGAATGTACTGCGTATAGAACTAACTATTACATGTTTACATTGTGTGATGTTTACTAATTTTTAAACCTTTGACATAATACATACAAAAGTGTTGTCCTGAATCTCAAACGTGCATTCTAAAAAATTGAGCTTTCACCAATGTGCCAGGCAATAACCCTAAGAACAGAACCATTTCTAAACTAAAAGATGTATGAGATGATAGAATTGTATAACAGTTTTCTTTTCCCTCTTCATTCTGTTCCACCTAATTACTCGACTCAAGATGCCAGTCCTGCCTGAATATTTATCAATGAGATTTAGGTTTTCAATTACCTTCTACATCCGTGATCACTGCACTCTTATTAAATAACTTCAAAACACTAATGAAGGACGAGAAAAGGCTAATAACTCTAGGTAAAATTTTAACAAAAAGTAGCGATTTTTACCTTCCTGACTTTGAAAAATGCCCAGAACCGAGTTCACACTTGAACAATAGTACATTATCATCAGTCTTCATGTCTCTCAATTTCGCCATATACTTCGCAGGTTCTGAGTACAGAACTCGTGGATCTGGAGTAATGCAGAAGAGATCAGACTGAATAATAAAAGAAGAAATTTGCATCATATGTGAGAACAATATACTCCATCCTCCAATCTATCCTTTGTGCAGGTAACATTGGCGACATCCACTGTCCAATGAATTCCACCAAGCAAATCTTCAGGAAAAATATTGGTTGAATTGAATAACATTGACTTTAGCAGTAATTGGAACTATTTGATTGCAACAACATATAGGTATATGAAAATTACCAAATTAAGGTTTTATTTTGAGCACTGAGGATGCATTACATGCTTATAAGCAGTTTCAAAAATTGAAATTCAGTCCAAAAAATTACGGTGTTCAATTAATTGACCGAGTCAGCCCACTCTATGGGAGTTTGATATGTCAAACCAACAGGTGGATCAATCAAACCCTACAGAATCTGACTTTCCTTCTCTGTTTAAACACTCTTGAACCCCAGTTCCCTCTGTTATAAATCCTATATAAATGCCCTAAGAGGCCCAAAACAATATACAAGTGTATAGGTAATTAAAGCAGCCTTTTTATTCTTTCTCCTTTTCTTTACATCATCTAAGCATATTGCATTAGATGGTGCCCAGCACTGGTAAGTGTTGATTCAACAAATTTGGAGAGAGAAAAGGAGATCAGAATGGAAATCACACAAACAAAGAACAAGAAGTTGGACAGCTAGTAGAGAAGATCAATCACAAAAGAAGTGCATTGAGTTAAGAACACATCCGTGGATTGACAACAGATTTCGAGGTAGAATACATGGCATAGAAGTGGATCAGAGGTAACTAGCTGATTTAATGTATTTAGAATCTGAGACTAGGTTTTTTTTTTTTTTTTTTTTTTGATAAGTAAAAATCTCATAGAAGGGCACTCAAGAGGGGAGCGCTCCCAAAGGAATACACAAAATGCCAAAGGCAGCAACTAAAGCTTTAAACCATCCACAAAATCCAAAAGATCCCCCAAAGATTTACAGTTCCTCCCGTTAACCCAAAAGAATAAAGTATGCAATAGTGTATTTGAGAGACCAAATAGGTGTCTACTTGCCCTCAAAATGTCTCCTATTTCTCTCATGCCACAAATCCCACTAAAGACAAAGGGGAGTGGCCCTCCAAAGAACCTTGGCTCCTCTCTCCACTAGACACTCTTTCCAAGCCTCAATCAAATCCACCGTGGTTCTAGGAAACACCCAAAACATGCCAAAAGCAACCAAAAACACAGACCAAACATCCCTTGCCACTGGCAAGTGAATAAGGAGATGATTCACTGATTACTCTGTCTTCTTGCACTGTTGCACATACAACACCAATTAACCACGATCTGTTGTCTCCTTCTAAGATTGTCAAGGGTGAGAATGCTACCGTGAGCTGCACACCAAGCAAAGAAGGCCACCTTCAAGGGAGCTATCGACCTCCAAATCGCTTTCCAAGGGAAGGAAAAACCTGGGATCACCAACAGCAAATGATAGAACGCCCTGACCTTAAACAGTCCCCTCAGTGAGCCCACCCACACCATCTCATCCATCCCTGCACCCTCCCACCTCCCGCCTATACAGCACCCTTCACTAGGTTTGTATTACCAATTTTATAGCAGATTCAATTTGCCAGATCTTAGGAGTTGTAGTTTTCCCTTTATGGTGTTTTCCATGTAAATTTTGGTGTTTGTGTGTGAGTTACGTTTATTTACATTTCTGTTATTTATTGTTGCATACTTAATCATAGGGTAACTTACACTGATGTCCCTTGAGGTTTTGTCAAATTACTCATGACTAGAGCGTTTGGGATTTATTACTCTGACCTCCCCCATGGATGTTAAACTCTACCGAACGTTAACTTATCATGCAAAATGTCAAATTTACCATCAATATTTTAATATGAAATATATTGAAGCACAAACACTAAATTGGCTCCCCATTCCACCTGTTTGTAGTTTTGTATACTTGCCGCCGCTGCCACCACCACTACTTAACCACCGCTACCTTCCCTCCCTCTCTCTCTAACCTCATCTTGGTTCTCTGCTTCTTCTCATGCCAGAAACCCAACACTTGCCAACCACATCCAAACCCTAAATTCCATCCCAATCACTCTCTCTCTATATGGCCTCAACACAAACCCTTTCATACTCTCTATATAGTCCTCAACAGAAAGCCTGGATATGTCCCAAGCTTTTAAGGACCTCCAATGGCAGCTTGTTCTTGGCATTCACGTGCTCTACTTCATCGCCATTTATCGGTAAAATCAGATTGCAGAGAAGAGAAGGTAACTCTGTGTTGCTCTCCTCTTCTCGTTGAAACCCATTTATGGGTCTATTGAAAAGCAACATCCACCCCCACCACTGCCATGATCACATCTATCCTTTTTCGATTCTACCTCCTACATTAACACCTCCCTCCACCATCATTCACTCTTTTTCTCAGTCCTCACCCTTCACCGCTGTCATTTACTTCTTAATTTCCTTGCTTTTGAGGAAAAAATTTCAAAATGGTCCATCAAACTAAAATATCCAAACCCATTTCATGTTATTTTCACATTACATTCACATCGTTCAATTTTAGCTGAGCCCAAAAACAGAGAAAATGCTTCATTGAAAGTTGTTTTCATGGCTATCACTATGCCTATAACTGACACGTCAAAGCCCGTTCATGGAGGGGTTTGGTATTATGGTATGTCCAATGGTTGTCTCTTGTTTGTTTTGGCCTTTCATAACCTCATGGTGTTATTTTCTTCCATTTAACTCTTACTATTGCTGGAAGAGTGGTTTGTTGGTGGTGGTGTTGGGCTTAATAAGGATGATGGTGGTTGGCGGTGGTTATGGGGTGAAGTGGTGGTGCGTTGAGGTGGTTATGGAGGTGTTGGCTTTTGCCCTTTTTTCCCAAAACCCTAATCTAAAATTAGAATGCAATTTGTCCAAACTAATCAATTTAAACAATAATTATCAATCTATTATTCACTTGATTTTTTAGTTGTAAGCAAATAAATAGTATATATGCACATAAATGTTTTAAGTTGTAATAATTAAATATAATCGCTATTATAACTTAAATAAATTGAATTTTTATATTTGTAATTAATAAGAAACTAAAATTTAGATTGAATTTTTATTTGTAAAAAATTGAAACTATAATTTTGCAAATTTAATAATATAAAGTTTGACATAAAAATTGATTTCATTTGCATTTGAAAATTTTATTGTGCATCAGCATACCAATCGTGTCAAGGGCAATTTTGTCAATGTGCTAATGGTATTTTCATCATTTCATGTCAAATGAGAAGGCAATTAACAGGAGGGTGGTCATTGAGCACAAGCACCAAATATTTGGGAGGTCAAGGTAATAAACCCTAACCGCTCTAATCATGTGTAATTTGGCAAAACCCTAGGGGAGGTCAATGTAATTTACCTTTAATCATATTATAGATTTCAAAATTCAGTTATAGTTAGTTAAAAGATTTAAAAGAAATATCCTTTCAAAAAATTATGAAAGACATTTTCACCACCCGCTAGGTCTCGTTAGAGACTTGGTGTATTCTGAAATATTAAATCCTAAGGTGCAAGTCCTCCCTTCACGTTGTTCAAGTTAAAATTTATTTACAGACCAAGTAAAGATGATCAGTGAACTTCTCTCTGTACCCGCCTACACTCTTATAGTGAGCAATTGGTACTACTAATGAAGAACACAAATAGCAGCTCAAAAGTTTTGTTTTCGCTTACCATGTAAACCAGCCGTAACAAGGATCAGTGGACAATTTACTGCCTTAATCTGCGTCAAAAAGTGCAAGATTTCAGTTCAGAAATCACTAAAAGCATATTCAGAATTGAATAACATATATAATTACCAACAGGGATTAGTGCCAAGTGTTGGTCAGTCTGGTTTGTAGAGAACTACAAAAATGACATACAAAGATGCTGTTGTTAGGTTCTCACATTATCAACAGGACAATATGACTTCATATAGAAGTAAAAATCTTCCTTACGAGGGTCGCACCATTCTGCAGCAACAATAAGGAATGAGGTAAAACTCTTCTCACATTATAGATGGATTTTTACACATAAAAAATAAAAAATTGTAGGAGAGTCACTAGACCAGCTATAGCTTGTATGGAGCAGAGTGTTGGCCGTTAAAAAAGATACCAAAAAAACGCATTCGTGTGATGGAAATGCAAATGCTAAGATGGGTGTTAGGAGTGACTATAAGAGATAAGGTTAATAATCAATAGGAGTGACACCTATTAGTGAGAAAAATGAAAAAGTAGATTAGGTAGTATGGACATGATTTATATTTTTTTTTTTGATTAGTATGGACATGATTTATATAAAAGGTAAAAGACAGAGATTGACAAAAACAATCACATAATGAAGTAATAAGACATGATTTTAAGTAATTAAACCTAGTAAGCGAAATGGCATATGATAGAATCATAGAAAAGAATGGGAAAAAGGCATGATAATGATGATGACAATGAATGAACGAAAATTAGGGGAAATAAAAAGATCAGAAATAGTATTGTAGAAAGAGAGAGAATATATGAAAACATATATGTTATTGAATTAGAATACAATAATACAATGGTGTTTATATAGAAGAAGCTACGGGAGAAGGTGAACGGAGAACAAGTAAACCCTATACATGGTAATTCTATACATAATAATGAGGGGTAGGTGACAACTCATACAATACTAACTAGACACGTGTGACAACTCATACAATTCTGTACAACACTCCCACTCAAGCTGGAGAGTAAATATCAATAACTCCCAGCTTGCTACATATGGAATCAATAAAGTTCTTGGGAAGCGCCTTAGTGAAGATGTCTGCCAGCTGTCTACCAGAAGGAACAAAAGGTGTAACAATCTCATTCGAGTCAACTTTAGATCGAATGAAATGGCAATCTACTTCAATGTGTTTAGTCCTCTCATGGTAGACTGGGATTGCTAGCAATATGACTAGCTGTCTGATTGTCACAATGGAGAGGAATTGGGTACTGGACTAAAATCCCAAATTCCTGTAAAGAGTTTTTTTCAACAAAGTAAGTTCACAGACAGTGTGTGCCATGGCACGATACTCTGCTTCAGCACTGAAACGAGCCACAACTGACTGTTTCTTACTCCTCCAAGTAACTAGATTTCCTCCTATGAAGGTGCAGGTGGACCGTCGATCAGATGAGAACCGGTCAAATCTGCATCTGTGTATCCCTCCATCCGAAGATGTCCAGAAGATCGATAAAGCAGACCACTTCCCAGAGCACCCTTAAGATACTTCAAGATGCGAACAAATGCGTCCATGTGAGGTACCCGAGGACTGGTCATGAACTGGCTCATAACACTAACTGCATAAGATATGTCTGGATGAGTGATTGTGAGGTAAATAAGTTTACCTACAAGTCTCCGATACATCTCTGGATCATCCAGTGGGTCACCATCATCCACCTTAAGTTTTACATTAGTCTCCATGGGTGTAGCTACAGATTTCGAACCAAGATATCCAGTATCCTGTAAGAGATCAAGAGTATACTTCCGCTGAGAAAGACTAATGCTTTGCTTCAACCGAGCCACCTCAATTCCTAGAAAATACCGAAGTTTGTCCAAATCCTTAGTAAGGAAGCTAGAACTCAAGTGATAGATTAGAAATTGTATCCCATCTTTGTAACTGCCGGTGATAACGATATCATCTACATACACCACAAGAATCACAATACCACATTTCGTTTTGTTAAAAAAGAGAGAATGGCCAGTTTGGCTTCTGGTCATACCATGAGCTACCACTGCTTTACTGAACTTATCAAACCATGCACGAGGGGACTGAGCTGGTCCCCAAACATCCGAATGTACTAACTCAAAAGGTTTTAAACTTTTTTTTATCAAAACAAGACTTAAGATGGGTGGTACTGAGCTTGAACCTCCGTCAAAAGCTTTGCGATTGCATATCAGAGAAGCTTATTCCAGCCTACAGCTCCTTTCTTGAGAGATTCCAGCCTACGACTCGTACGTAATATGCTCCGGTCCTATCTTGATGTGGCGAAACTTCCACGCCTCAATCTCAATGGCGAGATTAAAAGCTTCTCAATTGGCAAGGGCAGGGTGTTCAGGGTTGATCATCAAAGTACTACGAGTCATAAATCTGCTTTGAGGTCTTGCCTAGTCTGACGCTTTAATGGAGACATGGGAAGTATCGAGAGGATTGAGTCATGGGCGACGAAGAATTGGAAGATATCGTGTGGGGTGGTGGTTTCATCCCTGCCTAACGGCCTTTTTCTGTTCCGACTACCATCGGAGGAAGAGGCACAAAGGGTTTTGGTTTCAAGGAAGACGAATTGGGGTGACGCTAGTCTATCAATTTATGTTTGGTATTTTGTGGTAGGATGTTTGGCTGTGAGAGTAGGAGACAGAACAAGAAGGGTGGTAATGTATGGCCTACCCTTCCATCTTTGGCGTCATAAGCTATTCGAAGCCATAGGAGATATGTGCAGTGGTTTCAGAGGTCTGGAGGCGGACGACATGGCGGGAAGTGAGAGAGTTATTATCTACTTTTCTGACAGAGGTGTGATACAGGAGTTTGTCTTCGTCGAAGATTAAAGAGTGGCCTTTAAGGTCGCTTTAACGGAGGAATCTTCACCATCTATCCTTCCGAAGTCTTCTTACGGCACAATCGATGGTGCCCCCCCTTATATCCAATGAAACGAGATCCGGAAGAGGTCGCTGTTCACGGCAATTTCAGATTCATCTTGGCCCTCAAGGACAGTGACGCGTGTGCTTTAACGCGCCGTATGCGAGTAAGGGAAGGAGTTCCACGAGAAATACACGTAACGCCTCCTTTCCTTCCTTCTCAGCCTTTCCTCGATCTGATCATAATCTTGGAGGCTATCGACGTGGCTAGGCACATGGTCATACAGGTGTCTCTAACGCAATGATGGTAGCTACTAATTGGCCTGATCTGAGTCTTGAGCGTGATAAGCCCATGGCCATGGGATGTTGTCTTTGTTACGGGCCTTAGGCTCCCAATGAGTTAAAAAGGAAGGTTCTGAGGTGGACCAACAAACGCTTATCCATTTCTTTTCCAAATGATAAGCCCAGCCTAAAGGTCTTGTTAAGGTCTAGTGAAGGCCATTCAAATCATGATTTCCTCTCCCAACAACGTAACATTTACGGCTCCTCTGCAAGCAGACAGTGGTCTTTGTTGGAGAAGATGAGATAGATGTAGATCAGTGCATGTGCGGCCGGTTTCAACGCGGAAGAGAAGACCTATCGACACAATAAGTGCTGTCGTACTGATTTTTCTTCAGCGCCTCTTCCCTCTGCCCTTGTTTTGCTGAATGATAGAAGCCCTAGATTTTCAAATCGGGGATCTCATTTGATTCGTCATGGAAATAGATTGTCCATTCTTCATGGAATTGTGGAAGGAAGAGCGGTCACAGTGAACATGTAGGGTACGAAAGAGGTTATTAATAAGACATCTTTATCATCTTGGAAAGGGGAGCAGGAGGTCAAGAATCTTATCTCAACTATGAAAGGAAGAAAGGGGCGGTGAGGGAGAGGGGAAGGACTAGAAGTATGAGTGGAAGGAGGGGAAAAGGAGAGATAATCTTATCTAGTTCTTAATGAAGCTACGAATCATTACTTGGAATGTTCGTGGTCTCAACGATCCGGACAAAAGGAGGGTGGTGAAGGTAGCTTTAAGGAAGTGGGGAGCCCAAGTTGTCTGTTTGCAAGAAACCAAGATGGCCTCTATTTCTGATGGGGTTGTTAGGAGTCTTTGGGGAGGAAGGTTTATGGAATGGGAGACCCTAAATGCTTCAGGTACCTCTGGCGGAATTTTAGTTATATGGGATCGCAGATGGTTGTCAAGGATAGACGTTTGGATGGGGAGGTTCTCTGCGTCCTGCGTGTTCAAGATGGAGGAGGACAACTTCAGATGGGTTTTCTCTGTGGTCTACGAACCGGTTATTAAGAGTGATAGACCTCTCTTTTGGGAGGAGCTTTGCTATGTACAGGGACTGTGGTTTCTTCCTTGGTGCCTAAGTGGGGATTTTAACTCTGTTAGGTCTCCATTAGAGAGGTCCACAGGGGGAAGATGGTCTTCGGACATGACTCCGTTTTCTGATTTTATTGATGAACATTTTCTCATTGATTTGCCAATGGAAGGGGCAGCCTTCACTTGGTCTAATGGCAGAAACCCGGTTACTTTATCAAGGCTGGATAGGTTCTTGATCTCTAGGGAGTGGGAAGAGAAATTCTCGGACGCTGTTTAGGCGGTTTTGGCGGTTTTAGTAAGGGTTACCTCTTATCATTTTCCTCTGGTTCTGGACTGTGGGGTTTGAGATCTCGGTGTTCCCCATTTCGATTTAAGAATATGTGGCTGCGAGTGGAAGACTTCCAAGGGAAAGTCTGGTCTTGGTGGGAGGAGGCAACAGTTACAGGTTGTTCCAGCTTTGTGTTAGCTAGGAAGCTAAGGGCTCTCAAAATCGAGCTTAAGAGGTGGACTAAGGAGGTGTTCAGAAATCTTAAATGGAGGAAGAATAGAGTCCTTGCTAATTTTTATGAAATTAATCGTCTTGAAGAGGCGGGATATGGAGTCTCTACGCTCTAGGAGAGCTTCCTGCTAAGTGGTTCTTGCTGAGATTGCTAGTATGGAGGAGATCTTGTGGCGCCAGAAATCTCGAGCCTTATGGCTCAAAAGGGAGATATAATACAAAAATTTCCCATAGGCTTGCTAATGCCCACAGAAGGAGTAATCACATAGGGCGAATTCGGGAGGATGGTCTGGAGTTGTGGAGGGAGGAAGAGGTGCGCAGTGGGATCGTTTCCTTTTACCAGAAGCTTTACACCAAGCCGTTAGGATGGAGACAAAGGCTTGACGGCCTTCATTTTGATGCTATTTCTGAGTTGGATAGCGATGGTCTTGAGGTCCCTTTCTCCGAAAGGGAAGTGCTTAAGGCTTTATTGAGTTGCAATGGTGACAAAGCTCCAGACCCAGATGGGTTAACTATGCCGT